CTATACTCAGAGCTACCCTTATTTTTTCTGACCTAGAGCTATTCTATTTTGCCATGTACTATCTGGACTGCAGCTTCTTGATCTGTGTATAGATTTTGTATGAGACATTCTGGGATTCCCATTTTCCTAAGCACATTTCACAGCTGGACATGGTCAATACAATTGAAGACCTTTCTCTAATCAATGAAGTACACATTGACTTCTTTTTGTTATTTGTTTGCTTTCTCAGTTATCTAGCATGCATAGGTAATGTCTCATGTTCCTCGGCCTTTTCTAAAGCCAGTCTGAACATCCAGCATTTCCCTTTCCATGATGGGCTCTAATCTGCGTTGGTTGATCTTAAACATAATTTTGCTAACCTGTGAAACTAAGAATACTGTACAATAGTTTGCACAGTTAAGTCTCCTTTCTTTGATATTGGTATTTAGACTGGCCTCTCCCAATCTGTTGGCCTCTCTGTCATTCTCCAGATTTGCTGGCATGGTTTGGTTAGAACCTTTACAGAAGAACCTTTGCTTCTTCTATAGATATTCCATCAATTCCTGTAGCCTTTTGATTTGGTAATAACCAGAATACTGATTTAATTTCAACTTCTAGTACTACAGTTTCTTGTAAGTAAGGAATATCTTCTAAGCTGTTTTGAATATTGACATCTCTACTGTACAGAATTTCAGTATACTTTGATCTTCTTTGAATCAATTACTATCTGTTCATTGGCAATCTTTAGCACACCAATTCAAGGTTCGAACCTTCTTCTGAGTTCTGAGATCTCATTTTTGTCTGCTTCCATCTTCAGTGCCTTTAAAGATGTTGCTGTAATACTGCTTCTTGTCTCTTTTAATAGTTCTCTGAAATTCTGTCCTGAGATCTTTGTCATTCTTGGCTTTGGTTTCTCTTCTCTTCTTGGCAATTTCTACCATTTGTTCTGACATCCAGTCTACTTTCTTTTTTTTGTCTCTGGCAGTCTCTTTTCACATTTATCCTTAACAGCTTCTTTAATTTCATTTCACATTCATCAGCCTCCTTATCAAGGAGGCCCAGGATGTCAAAGCAAATCCTTATTTGCTCCTTGAAAACAGTGGGTATGTGCTCAAGATCATGTTGTGGAAACTTATAATTTGCACATGAGCAGTTCATGATCTGTTCCACACTCAGTCCCTAGGCATGTCTTTGCTGTTACAACTGAGTTTTAAGTCATTCATCCTCCTCCTTCATTTTGGTTTCCTAAGTCATACATCCAATTACATTTTCCTTCTCAATATTTCTAACTTTGGTATTCCAGTCTCCAACCACAAGCAGCACATCCTGCTTGCACATTATGTCAATTTCAGATTGAACTTGACCATAAAACTCATCAACCTCCTTTTCTCCTGCATCAGAAGATGCAGCATAACTTGACCAACATTCTTCCTTCTTTGATTTTTGTGTTCTGAGTGGTAACATTATGATCTGATTGAAAGCATCCATTTCCAGCCCACTTCAATTCACTGATGCCTAAGATGTCAATGTGTAGATGCTTCATTTTACTTTCACTGTGTTGACCATTCTCAAATTCATGCTTCTTATGTTCCGCATTCCCACTGCAATTCTGTCTTTGCAGCTTTGGATTTTCTTTTCCTGCAATGACAACATCACCAACTAGCTGTCTCAAAGCTTTAATCTAACTACATCATAAATAACATTGGGATACCAAAAGCTCCTTAGCTCCTCCTAGTAGCATGTTGAGTGCTATCTGACCTGAGGGACCCATTATCCAGTTCTATATTGTCAGTCACTTTATATTGCCTATCCATGTGGTTTTCTTATGTAAAGTACAGAAGTGGTTTACCAGTGACTTCTTCTGTCCAGTATGAAATGATGCCTTTGCTGATATCACTAAAGTGAATATCTACCTCCAGCATTTTCCTATATTGCTCCTGCCCAATATAGATGCCTGCTTGCTTTAGCTGGACAGCTGGGATTACCTTCATTACCTTGGGTGACCCTGCTGGGAGGATATACTCTTGGCATACACTCCCAGCTTGCTTCACTTATCTTTCTCAGGATCATTCCCCTTGCCACTATAAGGCAGCAAAGCAGGACTAAAGCCTTCTCAATGGCTGTTTGGACCATTTCTGAGGCTGGCACTAGTTTAAGCTTAAAACCTTGTCAAAATGATTAAAACAGCCGATTTTGAATACAAAACAACTGTTTCCAGCTTAAAACTGGGGGGTTAAAATTGAAATATGTTCACACTAGTGTTATATATTACTTTTAATATTTTGCATATTGTTTTGAACAGCATTGAAATAAATGTGTAGAGCTAGATTTGCTTTCCAGCACCCAGTTTCATCTATCTTTTTGTTGCTCATAAGCCAAGTTTTCCGTTTGGAGCTTTTCATATCTGTTGAAACAATTAAAACATGATAGACTGCATTTTACCCATCAGGACTCTTGTTTCAGCAGTGTCTCATGCCTTGGACTTCCTACAGGAGAGGCAGGCAGCTGAACCTCTCTTAAGAGAACAACTAGAGTTGGCAAAAGCTGCCCACAAGCGATCAGCAGATGCACACAGCCAAGAGGGCCTGGAAATTGCAATGGGAGATTTGGTGTGACTTTTAGCTAAGTTTTTATCTTCTGCACAGGACTCCAAGAAGCTGGCCTCAAAGTTTATCAGCCCCTTCCCAGTTCTGCAACAAATTAACCAACGGCCTCTTGCCTGCACTTCTCTGCATTGATGAAGATTCATCCTATCTTCTATAGATCACTACTTGTCCAGGAAGAACCCCCTGCATCTTATGTTCAAAGTCAGTTCCACCTTTCCCCATTCTCTTGGATGGGGAGGAAGAGTACAAAGTGGCAGGTATTCCAGATTCAAGGTACAAGGAGAAACTGCTGGAATACCTGATGCACTGGAAGGGCTTTCCAGAATCAGAGAGGTCATGGGAAAATGCAACAGACATTCATGCCCCCCCATCTAATACACCAGCTTCATGTACGGTATCCAGGAAAACTCCATCCCAATGAACTGCCAGGGCTGACTATGGGTCCCAGGATGAAGAGGACTTCATGTTGACCGCTATAATGGGCTTCAACAAATAGACAAAGGTGCAGCCCACCTACCTCTGGGCTGCAGGACTTCTTGGATAGGATGAGACAGCTGCCACAATGAGATGGAGAGATTCGACCTAGACAACAGCAGGAAGAAGAGGGGGAAGGGGCCACCCCTTCTGACTCTGCATTGCAGTGATCTTGGGGATCTGCTAATGGAGGAAGGGAGGCATTTGTTTCCATGACTGTCTCAGAGTTTTCTGTGTACATGGGAGGGGGAACTGAAGCTAATGTGGGAGGTGGTGTGGAGAACCATGGAAACAGCTTTGAAGTGAATATTCGGAAGCCATTACAGAAACAAGGCAATAAGTATTTTGTTACACTCTAGGAAAGGCTCAGGTTGGCTTCTCTCTGACTCAGTGGGGTATAAAAGGGAGGGAAGGTAAAATACAAGCAGAAGTGCAAGATTCTGTTACTATTTGTCAATATAGTTACAGCCTTCCTGTGGAGTCAGTTTTTTGACCTGGTCTGCCTGTAGGCTAGCAGATCTTGATAAGGAGGAAGGGTTTTAAACTCAACCAGACAAGACTGAGACAAGCTATAGATACATTATTCTTCCAATGCTGGTGATTCTCCATCTTTGATTCTGAATGGGGTGACACTTTCCCATATAGAACTGATGTGTAATTTGAGGGTCCTCTTGGACTCACAGCTCCTGTTCAAAGAGCAGTTGATAGCTATGGCCAGGAAGGCCTTTGCACAGATTCATGGCGTGCCAATGTCACCCTTTCCTAGACCAGGAATCCCTTCTCATGGTCCCTGACCTCAGATGTGGATTATTACAATATATTCTGCATGGAGTTCTCCTTGAAGACCACTCAAAAACTACAGCTGGTCCAGAATGCAATTATAAGTGCATCTCTGTCTTGGAACTCCTTTGCTATTTGAACTGCACTGGTTAACAGTGAACTTCCAGTGCAATTCAAGGTCTTGATTATCATCTATAATGGTACAGAGCCTGAGAGGCTGCCTCTGTTCCATAATTTCTATCCACCCCATAAGACCGGACAGAACAGAGCTTTGTGTCCCATCCATTAAGCAATGTCATCTGATGGGACTTAGGAAGTGCACCTTCTCTGTCACAGCACCTGCCGTTTGAAACAGCATCCCTCCAGAGGTTCAGACTGCACCAATTCTGTAAGCCTTTAAACAATCTTGGAAAATAATAAATTGGCTCATTCTAATAGGAACATTAGTACCAGAACACTAAATTTTGTCATTAATTTCAACAGAGCAAAAACTAAGATGATCCTTTTAACAAAGAGGTACACATATCTAGAAAATAGTACAAACAAGTGTTAAAGTCTCCACTTTAGGAGATTCCAACGGTAGGGCAATCAGAAAAAAAAAATACTGTAAAATTACCATAACAAATGACCAAATAGTATTTGCAAAAACTGTATTTTGCTAGGTGGTATGCAGAAGTTCAAAAAGCTACAGTGCTTTCTTTTATGTAACCTTAAAGGTATCCGGCCTTTCTTCCTTTGCATCTGAGCATCATATATCAGAAAATGCTACAAGTAGATTTGTTTCTATACGTCTGTTAAAGGCAAGGTCAATTTTTTTTGTCATTTCCACACCTTTTGGTGAATTACATTCGAAGGCGAAATAGGTAAGATTCGTATCTTCCACGAATTGCCGCTAATACATTTCCCTAAACCTCCCTACGGTGCAGGATGAGAATACCGCGAGAAACATCACGTGTCCCTCAGAAGCCAATTGAAGTTAAAGATACCATAGAGTTACAATTGAGGATTACCGAAGAGTTCCCACGCTTGAAGGCCTATTCACTAATTTGACCTCAAAGAGATCTTTTATAAAAGCCACGTCCACATAACAATTCTTCCATCAGCCTCTTACTAGTTTATTTCTTCTATTATGCTTAGAATGTGAAAAGCATACGAACCTACCTCACATGGGCTCGCAACACTCCTACGCCGAATACGAAAGGCTTGCCGCCATCTTGGTAAAGGAAAGAAGCTATCCGTCAGCCGCTAAGATTAGAGGGGGAAGCTCCTCCTCCATCGTTGCCCTCTTTTATCACTATAGCAACCGGAAGAGGCGACGTGTTGGGAGGAAGATAGCGCACGCGCTTTTGTTACCAGCAGCCTTGACGTTTTTGTGGCGTGCGAAGCTGTGAAGGCTTTTCAGTGGGAGGGGGAATGGTTTTTCCTCGCGCACTAAGTGGAGATGCGTTTGTGAAGAGAGGCAGCATGCGCATGCGTTGCGGGACCCTGTGAGACGCTTGGGCGGGTTCGGAGATTGCGGCGACGGCTGAGACTTAGGAAGGACTTTGGGGCGACTCCCAGGTGAGGCGCCTCCTGTGGTGCGGCTTCTCCTGAACTGGGTAACCTGCAGGGACTGATGGGTGACGGTGGCTGCAGTTTTTTATTCGGAGAGGAACGGGGAGCGGGGACCGGTCCTGGTTTTTCTAAGCAAAAGCCTTGTTTCGGGCGGGATGATATGCCCTTCCTACTCCCTAGTTTGCACTCCGCCCCCCACCCCCTTATCTCTAAATATTCTGGTTCTCGCCGTGGCTTGGGCGTGCAATAGAGGAAAAGTGGCGGACGGCTGGGGAAAATCGGGTGGGGAGGGCGTGGTGCAACGGGCGTTATTTCGTTTACCAAATCCAAGAGGTTAGCGAGTCAGCAGTGCGCTCCGGGGTCTTCGGGGCACGATTCGGAAGCGGATCCCGCCTCTCAAAAAATAAAAAAAGTCGCGGGGGGGAAGGGAACAGTTTGAACATATTTTCCTCCACAACAAACCTGCTCCAGCTTGGGCTCCAGCAAAGTGTGTTCAAGGGCTGGATGTTAAAAAAATATTTCTGGGGTGCCTGACTGGAGGACACCCCCCCCCCCCCCC